GAAGAAAATGAACTTGGTAGACAAATGTTCTTATCCTATCCTAGCCGTGATGGAAAAAAAAATTAGCCAAGTTTCAGTTGTAGGAGCCCCATATGGTGTGAGAATTAACCTCATTTGTCCTGTGGTGCTTACTAATACTTGTAGATACTGTGTTCTCTTAACATCTAGCCTTAGAGGCCATTTAATCTAGTCCTTTATTTTTCAGATAAGCAGACTGGGGTATGGACATGTTAAGTAACTTGCCCAAGGTCACACACATTTAATAAATAGCAGAGTTGGAATTTAAACCTAGGTCCCCAGCTCCAAATTTGGCACACTTTTCACCAAACCATGCTATGCTACCTCCTTTTATTCCTAAAAAAAAAAAAAGAAAGAAAGAAAAGAAAAAGAAAAAATCACTTGTCCTTTCTTTCTTTTTGTTTTCTCCCTCCTTCCCATTTTACCTTAAGATCAGAGTTTGGCCAGTCTTTCTAAAGCTGCAATTGTCACTGTTACATCATATTTAATTCTGTCTGTTTAGCCACCCTAATTTAGGTTGAAGTGAAGTCTGTACAACTGAGCCTGATATCTCCAGATCCTGATCCCGTAGAGACGTGGCTCCTTGCCACAGATGGCGTGGCACAATGTAATTCTATAGTTTGTGCAAGTCAGCAGGCTCCACAGTGTAATAGAAAAGATAAATGGAACAACTTGGTGAGATATTGGCAAAAGAGAAGAGAGAGGGGGACCAGACAATTTCATTCTTCTTTTCTTATTGCTCGGTCATCAGAAGCCGTCTTCCGCCAGAGGGGACTGAAATGATCATTGTCTTTGATTCTGTCTCCTCTGAGGGTGAAGAAGTAGTGGATGTTATTGTGAAATACCTTCATTTAGGGCTCACATCCATTTCAAAACTGAGATCATTACCGAATGCAGGCTCACTGAAATAGTTCTGGCCCGATAGAAGTTAATAGAACAGGCCCAATAGAAGCTTGCAGTCTGCTGGCAAACTCGGTCCAGTCACATCCTGGTAATAAACCAATCTGTTGTTTCCTGTACTGCCCTTCACAAGCAACCATGAAATGGTGTTGACCCAGCTCGATAGCTAGCCTTATTCACCAGATGTGGCTCCAAATGACTTATGGCTATTTAGAAAATTAAATCCATTCTCAAAGGATGAAGATGGGCCAGCCCTAAAAAGATTCTAGAGAATATAGTATAGGCTCTGAAGGTGATTCCAAAAGCGAAGTTCTAAAATGCATTATCAATGACAGTATAGGGCCAGGAGTGGGGAACCTGCAGCCTCCAGGCCAAATGTGGCCCTCTAGGTCCTCAAGTGCGGCCCTTTGACTAAATCCAGACTTCACAGAATTTCTCAGAATATACAGAATTCTGTGAAGTCTGGATTCAGTCAAAGGGCCACACTTGAGGAGCTGGAGGGCTACATGTGACCTGGAGGCTGCGATTCCACACCCCTGGATGGGTCATGGTTCATAGACCATATAGTTCATAGACTCCTTATGGTTGGGGAGTCATGGGATCATTGATCTGAAAAATTAATCCCACATCCCCCCAAACCCTGTTCCTTGTCATAGCTAATGCCCCTATGATTTTTAGGGTTCTGAGAGATCAAAGTTCTCACCTTCATTTCTAAGGTGATCAAATATGCTGCACTGAGGCAGGACTGCAAAACAGGTGGAATTTATTTTCAGTGCCCCCAGCTCCTTCTTTTGAGCTTGGACCCTTCTGAATTGGTATATCGTCTTCCTCCCATTCACTCCTTTGGAAACTGAGGTCCAGAGGTTAAATGATTTATCCAAGATAACAGAGGTAAGAGGAATGGGAAATAATGGAAATAAGCATTTACCTAGTGCCTACTGTATGCCAAGCAGGATGCTAAGTGCTTTACAAATATTATGCAATTTGATTTTCACAACTCTATGAGGTAGATACTATTATCTCCATTTTACAATTGAGGAAACTGAGGCAGACAGCATATTAGTGACTTGCTCAGGGTCTCAAAGCTAGGAAGTGTCTGAGGCCAGATTTGAACTTAGGTCTTCTTTATGCCAGGTTCAACACTCTATCCTTGCTCCACCTAGCTGCCTCATAGTAAGTATCAGGGGTGTCATTTGAACTGAGGTGTGCTGACTTCATGGCTGTCACTGGTTCCACTATACCATGTTGTCCCTGTCCTCACTAAAGTTAGTGTGCAGCTTCCTACATGAAGGGGTGTGTGCGCGTATGTGTGTGTGTGTGTTTGAGACAATCCTTTTTTGGATGGTTGTTTTAAAATGCAAAAATCAGTCATGGTAGGATGTGGTCATCTTGGTATTGGAAGATTTGCATTTGAGTCCCAGCTTTTATAGCTCTTAACTCCTCTGCTGACTTTGGTGCCTATTGTGATATCTGAGGAATTAACTGTCTCCAACCCCCACACATCATGGGTTTTAGGGCTGTCAGAAACCAGAGTTCTCATCTTCAGTTTTACAGTGACCAAATGTGTTACACAGAGACAAAACCCTAAAGTAGGCAAAGTTTGTCATCAGTGACCCCAAGGCCATCCTTTGGGTTCGGCCCTTCTGGATCAATGCCTTATCTTCCTCCTATTCACTCCATTTCATGCTTATTGAGGGATGACTGAAGTAAGGCCCCCATCTCCTTTCTTTCTACCTTTCTAATGCTTTCCTGTTGCTATTGCATCCTATCGGGACCAGGCTTCCTGTGTTTTATGAGGTGACCGCTAGCTAATCTAATAATGCATTTGTCAGTAGACAGATTGCACGGTTCTGGGTGCATAGTAGGCTTTAACGAAATACTTCTTGTCAGACCAATAGCTTAATTTATCCATCCTGCTTCCTATCTGGCTTTCATCTGAACTGCCTCTGTTTAGGGGAGGGCTGCTCCATTAAATCCATTTGCTTGGCTGAGTACATATGTGCTAGGGGCACTGAGGGCCTCTAAAGAGGTCAGTGAGACCTTTCTTTTATGATATTTCTCTTTTAGAATCTCCTTAAAAGCCTCTAGCTTTCCTCTCTCATTCCCTTTCCCTTGGCAACTGCCAGCCCCTTTTCTCGGCTACCACCCTCCTACACTACTCCCATCTGTTACCTCCTCCTCACAGCCTCACACCTGACGATGTCCCATATTCCTTTTACCACTAGGCCCTTCTCTTTCCTATCACATTTGTAGTCACTGAAAAATGGAATTCCCTTGGTCTCCTTAGTGTTCTGCTTACTGAGAGAGACATCTGAGGAATTAACCCCACATCCCTCCAAACCCTGTTCCCTGTCATAGCCAAGGTCCCTATGATTTTTAGGGTTCTGAGAGATCAAAGTTCTCACCTTCATTTCTAAGGTGATCAAGTATGTTGCACTGAGGCAGGACTGCAAAACAGGTGGAATTTATTTTCAGTGCCTCCGACTCCTTCTTTTGGGCTCAGACCCTTCTGAATCCGTATATCATCCTCCTCCCATTCCCTCCTTTGCATGCATGTTTAGCTCTCAATCACCTTTTCCCCCATCTCTTACATGTACTGTTGACATCCCATCCTACTGGGGCCAGGCTTTCTGTGTCTTCCATGGTGGGTTAGCTAATCTAATAATGCATTCGTCATATCAAAGCTAGAGTCCTTGTCCTGTATAACATTCAAGATTTTCCTGAATTTCAACTTCCTGTTTATCCTGAAGTTTGCTCTGAAAGACATATTTCTGATCCCATGGGGCTGTGCTTTTAATTTCTTTCTTTCTTTCTTTCTCTCTTTCTTTCTTTCTTTCTTTCTTTCTTTCTTTCTTTCTTTCTTTCTTTCTTTCTTTCTTTCTTTCTTTCTTTCTTCCTTTCTTTCTTTCTTCTTTTTCTCTTTGGTGTTCCCTGTCTACACTTTCTCTTACTTTTGTTTAATTTTCCTTAGCAAGCATCATGTTTACTTTCTAACTACAGCCTTGTATTGATTTTCTTTCTGCTTTATAGGGGCAATTAATCTTGGTCCTGTATGCCTCTTCTGATAAATTACCCCTCCTCTCACCCATCTCCTCTTAGATTCTGCCCACCGAACCAGAAACCAAGTTAGTTCATCTGGATTTTATCTATACTGTGGAAGCTAGAAAGGATTTATCAAGGGATAAAATGTATATTGAGGTGATTACAATAGCTGATGCCAGGCACAGAGCCTTGAAAAGGTGTCTGCATTCTAGCATCAGTCATTTCTTGGAGGTAGCAAATTGCTCTAAAGCCTTTATTTGGTTTAGGAGCTTTGTGTTACGGGGAGTGAGCTCAATACAAGCTAGGAGCAGAGGCTTCATGTGCAAGATGCAGAGTGAACTAAGGCCAGATTTGTAGTTTTTGCTCACAGGTGGAGTTGCAGGGGGACAATTCCCAAACCTCACTCTGGAAATCAGAGGATGTGGGTTCAAATCTTGTCTTTGACAGTACCTGTGTGACCTCGATTTCTTCGTCTGTAAAATGAAGGGTCTATGCTAGATGGCTTCGGAGATTCATTCCAGTTCTAAATCTATGATCCCATGATCTTCCTTCTATTCCCTCCCCCTTGTTTTCATGCTTGTGAAGACCTTAGAGCTGTCCACAGCATTGTGATTTCCCTAGGAACAGTATCTTCTAGTTTCAGGCAAACAGATGTGTCTTCCTCTCCCCATCCTGCCCAATGATTGGTGTTCACATTCACCCCACTCCTGCCCCTCCCCATTTGGTAACCACTAATCCCAGCCCTCCACTGGGGCGCAAAGTCTCCACTGGCACATTGGAGAGGTCTTTCTTTTCTCAGGCCATTCACCCTGCCAAGGCTGCTTAGCTGGGAATGAGGTGTACCTATGCTTCTGCTGAATTCATCTCCTTTCCTAGGTATTCACATCCAAAAAACAAAAACAAAAACCAAAAACCCCAAAACAAAACCAATCAACCAATCAATAAGCAAACCTCTGGCACCATCCATCCCACTGGAACCCATGAGCTATGCAATGTCTTCTGATTTTCTTTTCTCTCTGTGTTTTCTCTTCTTGCTGCAGGAAGGCAATCTCTCGGTCAGGCCTCCAGCATTTGGCTCCAGTGCATTCCCTCAGCCTACCTATTGCCAATGGTCCAGCGAAGGAACCCAGAGCAACACTAGACTGGAGTGTAGGTGTTGGTTTTGACTTTTAAAAAAAAAATTAAAATATTTCACCATAATTAAATGCCTCTTCTATTCTCTAGACTGTGAAACCTTTGGCTCATACTCACTGTATATTTTTCAAGTGGTAATGAGGGTGATTGATGTTGTTCCCTGACTGAAATCTATATACAATGTTGCCTCACTTAGTGAATCCTTTGGAAAGGATCATTTATGTAAATTTATCCCTGTTTAAAAAGGCAGACCAAAATGATGGCTAGCTCTAAGATGGTCCTAACTTTATAAATCATTATAGCATTACAGAATTTAGTGCTGGAAGGGGTCTTAGAGATCAGCAGAACCAGCCCTCCCTCCACCATTTTGCCAGTGAGGAAAATGAGGCCACAATAATCACAGAATCACAATATTGAGAGTTGAGAAGGGCTTCATTGGAAATCTAGCCAAATCTTAGGGTATTTAGATGACTCAGTGGATAGAGCACTGGGCCTGGCATCAGGAAGACCTGAGTTCAAATGTAGCTTCGTACACTTACTAGCTATGTTACCCTAGGCAAGTCACTTAACTTCTATCTGCCTCAATTTCCTGAACTGTACAAGAGGGATAATAATAGCACCTATCTCTCAGGGTTGTTGTGAGGACCAGTTGAGATAATATTTATAAAATGTTTAGCACAGTGCCTAGCACATAGTAGGTGCTTAGTAAATACTGGTTTCTTTTCTCCTCTTCCCCCATACACAAATGGAAATTCTTCTATAATGAGGTTAAGTGACTTGGCCTAGGTCACATAGGTAGTAAGGGGCATAGGCAAGACTTGAACAAATCTGACCACAGAGTCAGTACTTTTCGACAGTAGGCTGTCTCTTTGGAGGTAGGCTTGTATGTGTTTGCAGCTGCTGCTCAGAATATCACTGGGTGACAAGTGTTTGTTCCCACCCAGTGGAAGGGAAATAGTGCCTACCAGGACAAACTTACAAGGTATGTCTTCTGGTTCCCTTTTCCCTTTTTGTTGGTTGCATCTTCCCCAAGTACTTTTCTGTCCTGTCTTCTGGCTAAACAGCCATTGATATTTAGTGACTGATAGACTGACTGATCACTTAGTGAACAAAAAGTCCATTAAAGGGATTTTAGGTAACATCAAAATAATTAGAGAGATTTTTTTTTTTTTTGGAGAGGGGAAGGGAGACAGGGAAAATTGAAATCATGCTAGACCTCAGTACTGAGGATAAACCTGATTTAGCCTATTTGGATGGAGGTAAGAGATTACCAGAAGGGACGGTACCTTGACTCTTCTCCAACAAAAACCTTTATTCTTCTTTAGGGAGACTAAATTGGGAACTAGCTTGCTAAGGCAGCTGGAGATTTAGTCTCAGGGGTGACTGAGAGGCAGGAGAATTTTCTTTGAAGACCTAGAATGCTTTGAATATACCTGTCTGCAAATCCATTCTAGACTGACTTGATTCCAAATTCTCCCTTTCCCCCTCTGCCTTCCTTCTCTAACTGAGCCTCTCTCGATCCTTAATCCAATCCCTGTCTTTCCCTCCCTTTGCCCACCACAACTTTCAGATGTGTATGTGTTTACATATACCCATACTTATGCATACCCACACATGTATATGTACACACACATATATATGTTGTTTCCAAGAGCTTTTAACATTTTTTAGTTGGTTGTTCAGTGTTTTTTTTTTTTTTTTGAGAGGCAATTGGAATTAAGTGACTTGCCCAGGGTCACACAGCTACTAAGTTATCTGATATTCCATTTGAACTCAAGTTCTCCTGACTCCAGGGCTGGTGTCACTGTGTCACCTAGCTGCCCCTCAGTGATTTTTCATAATATATTCTGATATCCTAAAATGCATTCCTCAGCATCTTCTTTTTCTTTTTTTGCTTTTTTGGCAAGGCAGTTGAGAGCTAATATAACCTTAATGGTCATCTAGTCAAACTGTATAACTTTATAAATCGAGAAATTGAGACCCAATGAGCTTAACTGATTTGCTCAATGCCATTCAACTAGAATGAGTGGACAGAGCATTGGGTTTAAAATCAGGACGACTCATCTTCATGAGTTCAAATCCAGCCTTAGACAGTTACTAGCTATGTGACCCTGGGCAAGTCACTTAACCCTGTTTGCCTCAGTTCCTCATTTGTCATGAGCTGAAAAAGGAACTTTAGTATCTTTGCTAAGAAAATCCCAAATAGGGTCACGAAGAGTCAGACACAACTCAATGACAACATTCAGGTGGAAAATGTTAAGTGACTTGCCCAGGGTCACACAGCTAGTAAGTATTAAATGTCTGAGGTCAAATTTGAACTCAGGTCTTCCTGACTGCAGAAGCCAGTGCCCTATCCACTGCACTACCTAGCTGCCCCAGCATTTTCTACTTGTATTGCCCTTGGTTATATAGTTTCTGGCAAAGGAAAAAGCATGTTACTGAAATGCTTGCCCTTTGTTAAAGGAGTTACCAGTACTGAGGCTTGAGAGAGCTCAGATACTGCTTGGCTTTTTCTGAGGCTATTCAGGTAGGAGACTTTTCCAGTATTTCAGGATAATTATTTAATGTTGTTTAGGATAGTTATTTAATGAAAACTTAGATCATGATAGCCTGCATTTTGACTGGGGAGAATTTCAATTCCATTCATTGAACATGTATTAAACACTTAATATGAGCCAGGCATTATGCTAAGTGCTGAGGGATACAATTAAGAAAAAGAAAGGTGGTGCCTGAAGGAGCTTACCTTCTAATGGGTAAGACAACTCAAAAAGAACCTGTAAAGAAGAGGGGTGCTGAGGGAATTGGGAAAGTGCTAAGTATCTAAAACTTTGTTAAAGAGCATCATAATGAGATTTCAGGCGATCAGCTTATCCAAAGTAGGGAATCATATTCAAGCCAAACTAAGGGGCAGGTGGAAAGCAGAGAATTAACATTTCCCAAATCTAGCCCTAATGCACACCTGCGATGTTATTCCTGGGTCATGTTCATGTCATACCACTGTGTATCTCCCCCCAAAGCCAAACCCGTACATATATTTTCTTCTATTGGAATGTAAGCTCCTTGAGGGCAAGGGTTGCCTTAACTTGATTGTTTTTGTATAAGGGTGATAAGAAGACCTGAGTTCTAGTCTTAGCTCTATCATTAGCTAGTTGTGTTTCTCTAGATAAGATATGTGACCTCTCTAGGCCTCATTTTCCTCATCTGTGAAACAAAATGCTTGGAATAGATGGCCTTTGAGGAATTTTCCAGTGTTAATAATCTACAGTTCTGTAACTTTATGCATGTAGGTATTAGTGAATGATTGGGTGAGATTCCCAGGGTACAAGTAGGCAGTTAGCCTCAGACCCCACAGTGGTAGCTTGGTTCATTAACGGTTCTCCTATGGTTTGCATGCTGTAAGTAACAAATTTCTCCATAGATCCATATATGAATATGTGAAAAAGTTTCAATTAAGCTCTTATGAAGTACCAGGCCCTGAGCTCCACCTCCTGTGATCCAGTATTCTTTCCAGGATACCACACTACCTAATAGTTCTTTGGAGAATAGAAATTTGGAATATTAGATCCTGAAAAACAACTTTCTGACCATTAGGCACTAGGTGGTATGGTGGGTAGAATGCTAGACCAGGAGTCAGGAAGAACTGAGTTCGAATGTGACCTCACACACTTCCTAGCTTTGTGACACTGGGCATGTTACTTAATCCCTGTCTGCCTAATTTTCATCAACTATAAAATGGTAATACTACAACAACAACAACTACTACTACTACTACTACTAATAATAATAATAACACCTACCTCCCACGATTGTTGTGATCATTAAATGACATAATATTTGTAAAGTACTTAGCACAGTGCCTGGCACATAGTAGATCCTTAAAAAGTGCTTGTTCTCCCTTGCTGGATTAGAGTTATTTGCAAGCATGTATTTTATTTTCAGAAAGTACAGTGAAGGCTACTGGAGGGTGCCTATATTTATCTCTCGGTTTCCGGAACATGGAGCATAGATTGAGAGCTAATATAACCTTAATGGTCATCTAGTCAAACTGTATAACTTTATAAATCGAGAAATTGAGACCCAATGAGCTTAACTGATTTGCTCAATGCCATTCAACTAGAATGAGTGGACAGAGCATTGGGTTTAAAATCGGGACGACTCATCTTCATGAGTTCAAATCCAGCCTTAGACAGTTACTAGCTATGTGACCCTGGGCAAGTCACTTAACCCTGTTTGCCTCAGTTCCTCATTTGTCATGAGCTGAAAAAGGAACTTTAGTATCTTTGCTAAGAAAATCCCAAATAGGGTCACGAAGAGTCAGACACGACTCAATGACAACATTCAGGTGGAAAATGGTAGATCTGGGATTCAGATCAAGATACTGTGATTTCAGGTCCAGCGCTGTTTTCACTGCTGCTTCCCCAAGACCTTCCTGGACTGAGAATAGGAAAGGCAGTACAAGATGGTGAAATCCTCAAATCCTAACTATAAGTAAGCTTAGGGAAAACAATCTTAGAGGCCAAGAAATGTATTCTGGTGTCCATTCTCAGGCCCTCCTCGAGTTTTCCAAATGTATATAGCGAATCCATAGAAAATCAATGACAACTACTTCCTACATCACTCCAGCATCTCCAGCTCTATCCTAACTAAATTAAAATTGCTCAATTCCCAGTAATACCTACTCTGGGAAGATCCTTGCAATAAGAAGGGATTAGACAGGAATTGGAATGAAAATACCAAGGAAATAGAAGAAATGGCTGGTGTCTTTGACTTCAGGAAACATGCCCACAACTTTACTAAACAACACCAAGTGACGGTCATGATCTTAGTGAGGACAAGGAACTACAGAGGCAGCTAGGTGGCATTGTGGATAGTAGTCTGGACTTGCAATCAGGAAGACCAGATTTTGAATCTTGCCTTGAACACTTTAATAACTAATAGGCAAGTCATTTAAATTCTCAGCCTCAGTATTCTAATCTGTAAAAATGGGAACCTCACAGGTTGTTGTAAAAATAAAA